TAAGCAAAGGAAAAAGTTCAAAGCAAAATCTGAGGTAACAAATGTTACATGTGACATCAAATAGAGCAGCCTGGCAGTGACTCCTCTGGTTTCTTTCAGCACTGACGCATGAGTTGGGTACAATATTACCAGTTCATATTATATGAATGCAATACTTAATACAACTATTTTCATGCCATGATCCACATTCAAGCTAATTTTATTCCAAAATAAGTTCATTTCACAAAACCTCTTGACCAGACAGAATATAATTACGTCTGCTCTTCACACCTAACCGTACCGATTTACTGTACACGAGGCTTTTTTATTAACCGTAAAATATTTTTATTAAGTATTTTAAAATGCACTACTTTAACAGCAGATACAATAGTTTAAATTGTAAATAGTGTTTTTAAAAGTGCAACCTTGTATTTGTACATAGTACTCACTCAGAACCATTCACTATTTCACCAAAAAATGTTTTAAGGCAAAGCTAAACGAGTTAAACGGAGCAAACACTACCCAATCGGACTTCCGCAGGGGAGAGAGCAATGCAAGCATTGTGTGCAAAAGAGAGAAGGATGATTGCATCGCGAGACCATCATAGCGAGGGGAGGGCCCTTCATCCAGCAATGGAAGATCATGAAAATGAATTACATGAGTGGCAAATACTTTTAGTTAAATGACTGCACACAATGTACGTTTCTTGAGCCATGCAAAGTCGTGGACTGTTGGTGCACTTATGGTGCTTTCAAACACAGGTTGAAAGCAAGAATGCATTAGCTCTGTCAGTCTGACCATTTGTCTGCAGCAGTGGTCCACGATAACTCTCGTGAGGGTAAACATGATCCAAGGTAAACACATTTTAATATAAAGTGTTGTTGTTTTGATATTGGGGACTTTCCCTACACAGAACTATCCAAGTTGACCCGAGGGTTGCCTATAACTTGGCAAAATCCACAGATAAATAGAGAAGATTTTTCAGCCACCCGGATGGCATTACAAGCCATGCACGTGCCTTGCCATTATGCACGCCATCGTCTCACATCATATGATGTGCTGTGTGACGTCATATCGTTAGGCGGCATGCAATGTAACATTTATCATCACCGTCAACCACAATCAATCCACTTCTGGATCATGGCTTCCACACGCCGCCGCCGCCATCTCTCAGTCTTGCGATGGTAGGAATCCACCTCGCCACCGGTTCACAGGTTGATTTAATCGAGAACTGACTTTCAATTCAGTCTCTGTTCCTGAAGAAACTCCTCCGGGTACAGTGGAGCAAAGCGTTTGACATCATGCCAAACGACACACCGTACAACCTGAAAACATATCCAGCAGAATTGCAAAAACCCACGCAGCAGTAGCTTAAGTCTGACAGCTACACTGGAAATGTTTTTCTTCGTCAGACACTGTACATAGTTCACACAAATAGCATTACTCTCTCCCTGGGGGGTTGAGACCAATATAAAAAGGTCACAACTATGACACTGGGCAAACCAGTTAATTTACATCATAATTGACCTAAATGCCTTTGAGGCAGTAGGACAAATTCTGAACTGTCTACCAGAAACCAAACGCAGGCCTTTGTTGTGTTGTTCTACACTGTCATGAGCACAGCGCATAAAGGGTTTTTGAGGAAGTGGCAGAAAGCTAAAAGGTTGCCTTCCTTGCAAAATGCCATGCTTATGAAAATAAGGTGCCACTACATCCTTCAGAATAATTCTAGTGGGAGAAGACCGCCAACTTCAGCGCTTCGATAACTTGTCACGATCCGGTTAGCAGTTCGATTCGAGAATGGATTATTGATTTTATTTATATTCTGGTGAATACAGTGGCCTCTAGTAACTAAGAGCTCATGTGAACCCAATCTATATGATATATACATATCAGAGGATTCGTACACACACACTTCGATGCATGTATTGCAGCATAAACATCGATATTAATTTATGGATCCATGCATCTCAACAACAGTAATCAGCAACAATTGAATCAATCGCAAGTCGTAAATAAGGCTAACGTTACCTTCTTATTTACTTTTTAGTTGATTTGTTAAGAGGGGAAGGGACCAAGCTTCCTTATTCGGACAAGCACCACTCGCCAAGTGACACATACAGGAATAAGTTCACCTGTACAGGAGATAGTGGACTATGTTGCACACCAATGCATACCTGTCTACCCATATGGGTTACCCCGTATTCTTGTACAGGGGAATTGAGTTTTCAGGTCCATACGGCGTACAGCCGTTTCAATACGGGCAAAAAAATGTTTTTGTCTATTTGTTTTACTAGCTCCCCCAGTGAATGACGTCTCGGATGTGCTGTTAAATATTTAGGAATTATCACATCCTCGTTGTGGTTTACAAATTATCTAAATACAAGTCAACATCTTTTTGCTCACACTATTTTAATCTTGTGTTTAGAAAAGAAATGCACCGTCAGTCATTCTCATGCCAAGAGCAGACAGACGTTTACATATGGGAGTACAGTATTGCAAGAAATATGGTCATATATGCAACTGATGAGTTGTTTGTAAGAACGTTGAATGTGTTCGGGATAACATGAAGGTTGTTAGTATAACCACAAACAAGGCTTAGCTGTTTGCACTTCTGGAATGGGGTTAGGTTGGCACTCTAAAGGAGTCACCAACTTTACCATGAGCTAAAATTTCTGCCACTTACTATAAATAGATGACATGATGCCTTTAGACTGTTGACTTTCATCAGCCCTATCAACATTGTTTAACCACTTTATTACATATTCTGTCGTACCATCCTGCTATATTTTGTTGTAACTTGCATTGGAAGCAACTGACCTAGAGTACCATCAATAATTTGCTGCTTACTCAAAAACACTTAATGACACGTGGATATTTAGAGAAACTGTTCAATTGTTTCCACACGTCCAATACGAAATGTAAAAAGGATTACTCGGTTTCGCAAGAAGCAAAAGAGATTTCCAAGACAATAAATGCAATGAAAAACGCATCGGCAACTGCCTCTTGCTGTATTATTTTTAAACAAATACCATACGTAATACAATATTCATCTATGCTCCATGATCCCCATCTTCACCGATTCACACCGACCAGCATGGTCAAATACAACCACATTACCCATATGGTGTGGGGAGGCCCTCATTCATCAGCGGATTGACAAAATGGGCTGTACACGTGAACATATATAACGCAAGTAGTGTTATTTTTGTTTCATTATGGAAGACACTTATACCAGTTATTAACATGCATGCCAATACAGGAAAACTACATCTCACTGACCTCTATTGCTCTTGTAAGCAATTCTTGCAGCAAATGATATTAAGTATTGCAAAAATAACTACGCCACCGTGGATTATTCTAGCAGGCATGGCAGCTGGCACTGTGGATAGGGGTGGCATATGCAGTACAGTACTGTATATGCATCATGGTAAATACTCTTTTATTTTTCGGGATACTGTTATCAGTAGACCTCATCCATCGTCCCAAGATGCGTATTTACTTGTTGGTGTAAAAGGTACGTGCTTGTGTTTGCGAATGACAAGACTGGTGACGATGGTGGTTGGCACCTGGCCTAATGTTTGGGCAATGGACAATAAAAACGACGAGTGTGTGTGTGTGCTGGCCAAAGTGCGTGGGTGTAAAGGTTGAACATGTGGCCAAGTGTTCACGTGTTTCCCCACCAGGAACCTTGCCTATCACATGTTGGCGTTTGTGTGTTTTAAGAATTCAGTGAGTCTCCCTAGTTTTGCTGAACACACATATCGTAAATCCACGACCTCCCTTTCCGTCTCTTCAGTAGAAGGTCCTTGGTTCGATTTCCTGGCTGTTACTCCATCACCATTCTTCAGGATTGGTCATCAACCAAGCGATGTGTACTGCCGAAGCCAACGGCTCTTCATAACTGTTTGAATGATATTCTTAGCTCTTTCGGTAAAGTCACGTTGAAGGGAATGATGCCATTAACCTGTGCACGTGTTCTCCGATGCACGTTGTTCCTCTTCGTGACCTCTTAAGTGCAATAATTCCAAGCATGCGTCTTCACCATGCTTCGTTGAGCACCCCCGTATATCTTTGCGTCCCATTATTTTGGGGTTCGCTAAAACAGTATCAATAATCAATCCGAGCACAATTCTTCCTGGAGGTCACAAAAACCAACACTTTGGCTTTATGATCGATGCAATATTGGGGTGTGGAACAAGTAAGTGTGCTTGGCGAGTTACTAAACTAAAAATAAACTATTTATTATACCAGGTAAGGCCCACTGGAGCTCTGTATAGCCACAAATGATAAGCTCAACTTGGTGGCTTACCGTGTGTGGAAATTTATAAGCAGCCAAACACTCTGAACGCACGTTGTTTCTAAAATGTGGAGTCTAAAAAAAACAACAACAACAACAACACAGAGGACCCGGAGGAAAAATATCACCACGGGAAGCGAGGTAACGAGAGAGAGACACACACGCAAACTCCAAATGTACAGCAGGCATCATCAGGGGCTCGTGATCGAACCCACGGACCTCCTGTACACCCGGCGAGGTAGTCAACATCTCCTAGCCACCGTGTGGGTATCAGATAGGTCAGGTCAAGCAAGCAGTATCGCGGACTGGCAGGGCGTTAAACCCAAAACACATACCGTAATGTATACAATGTTAGAAAAAACACACACAGAAGGGGAGGGGGGAAAAAAAACATTTTTTTTTAAATGACAGCACTTCCACGTCACCCGCACCGACTCCAAAACAGGCAGGAGGGCTGTCTATCCCAGACAGGCTCCACCACCACCACCATCATCGTCGTCGTCGTTAAGCCACCATACGACGTCGAACGAATACACACAAACAACCATCACTTACAAATTTAATGTGGGACTGTCCCGTCCGCCCGCACCACTCCACTAGTTGAAGGCCGAGACACAGACAGACACACACACAGAGAGAGACGGGGGGGGGGGCTGGTGCTATAGGAGGCAGTGACAGCTCGAACAAGCGAGCGGGTAGCGGCAAAGCAACACTTGTTCACCTGTAGTAGGAGAGCAGGCCATTGCTGAGCACGAACCATCGCTTCTGGTAGCCCTTGATGTAGTTGGTCCACTTGAAGAGCCAGCCCTTGTACGTGTCCGGCCCGCTCTTGACGTCGCTCATGTTTGCCTTGCTGGGCTATCGCCGCGCCTCGTGTGACTTGTGGTTGTGTGGTTGTGTGTGTGGTTGTGTCTATGTTGTTGTTGTGTATGTGTGCGTTTCTCGGCCTCCCTCTGTGTAATGAGGAGAAGGAGTGGGGAGGAGGAGGAGGAGGAAGGGGGGGGGTGTGAGGAAGCCGCGGCGAGTCCGGCAGTGAGGGGCTTGAGTCGGTGCGGGCAGAGGCCGCCGCTTCAGGCCTCGCTGCTGCGTCACCACGGGGGGCGGGGCGAGGCGCCGCGCGTCATCAACACGCGGCCCGCACTCACAAGCAAGCGCGCGCGCGCCGCGTGATACACGCGCACAGCGCTGTTACACGTACCACTATTACACGTACCACCACCGCTATTACTACAAGTACCATCACTACTACTACACGTACTACTACACGTACCACCACCACTACTACTACACGTACCACTACTACTACACGTACCACTACTACTACACGTACCACTACTACTATTACTACACGTACCATCACTACTACTACACGTACTACTACACGTACCACCACCACTACTACTACACGTACCACTACTACTACACGTACCACTACTACTACACGTACCACTACTACTATTACTACACGTACCATCACTACTACTACACGTACCACTACTACTACTACACGTACCACTACTACACGTACCACCACCACTACTACTACACGTACCACCATCACTACTACACGTACCATCACTACTACACGTACCACCACTACTACTGCACGTACCACCACTACTACACGTACCATCACTACTACTACACGTACCACCACTACTACTTCACGTACCACCACCACTACTACACGTACCACCACTACTACTACACGTACCACCACCACTACTACACGTACCATCACTACTACACGTCCCACCACTACTACACGTACCACTACTACACGTACCACCACCACTACTACACGTACCACCACACTACTACACGTACCATCACTACCACACGTACCACCACTACCACACGTACCACCACTACTACTACACGTACCATCACTACTACACGTACCACCACCACTACACGTACCACCACTACTACACGTACTACCACCACTACTACACGTACCACCACTACTACACGTACCACCACTACTATACGTACTACTACACGTACCACCACTACACATACCACCACCACTACTACACGTACCACCACTATTACACGTACCACCACTACTACACGTACCACTACTACTACACGTACCACCACCACTACTACACGTACCACTACTACACGTACTACCACTGCTACACGCACAGCGCTGTTACACGTACCACCACTACTACACTTACCATCACTACTTATACACGTACCACCACTACTACACGTACCATCACTACACGTACCACCACTACTACTACACTCACAGCGCTGTTACACGTACCACCCCTACTACACGTACCACCACTACCTATACACGTACCACCACTACTTATACACGTACCACCACTACTTATACACGTACCATCACTAGTACACGTACCATCACTCCTACACGTACCACCACTACTTATACAGTACTACTACACGTACCATCACCACTACTACATGTACCATCACCACTACTACACGTACCATCACCACTACTACATGTACCACCCCTACTACACGTACCACTCCTACTACACGTACCACCACTACTTATACACGTACCACTACTACACGTAACACTACTACTACACGTACCACCACTACTACACGTACCACCACAACTACATGTACCACTACCACCTCTACACGTACCACCACTACTGCACGTACCACTACTACTGCTGCAGTACTCATGTACTCAAATAGCATACACACCACGTGATACAACACTTTACACTTCTACTACTGCTGCAGTACTCACATACACAGCGTGTTACACTACTACAACACTCATGTATACACAGCGTGTTACACTACTACAATACTCATGTATACACAGCGTGTTACACTACTACAACACTCATGTATACACAGCGTGTTACACTACTACAACACTCATGTATACACAGCGTGTTACACTACTACAATATTCATGTATACACAGCGTGTTACACTACTACAATACTCATGTATACACAGCGTGTTACACTACTACAATACTCATGTATACACAGCGTGTTACACTACTACAACACTCATGTATACACAGCGTGTTACACTACTACAATATTCATGTATACACAGCGTGTTACACTACTACAATACTCATGTATACACAGCGTGTTACACAACTACAATATTCATGTATACACAGCGTGTTACACTACTACAATACTCATGTATACATAGCGTGTTACACTACTACAATATTCATGTATACACAGCGTGTTACACTACTACAATACTCATGTATACACAGCGTGTTACACTACTACAATACTCATGTATACACAGCGTGTTACACTACTACAACACTCATGTATACACAGCGTGTTACACTACTATAATACTCATGTATACACAGCGTGTTACACTACTACAATACTCATGTATACACAGCGTGTTACACTACTACAATATTCATGTATACACAGCGTGTTACACTACTACAATATTCATGTATACACAGCGTGTTACACTACTACAACACTCATGTATACACAGTGTGTTACACTACTACAACACTCATGTATACACAGCGTGTTACACTACTACAATATTCATGTATACACAGCGTGTTACACTACTACAATATTCATGTATACACAGCGTGTTACACTACTATAACACTCATGTATACACAGCGTGTTACACTACTACAATATTCATGTATACACAGCGTGTTACACTACTACAACACTCATGTATACACAGCGTGTTACACTACTACAACACTCATGTATACACAGCGTGTTACACTACTACAATATTCATGTATACACAGCGTGTTACACTACTACAATATTCATGTATACACAGCGTGTTACACTACTATAACACTCATGTATACACACAGACACAGCGTGTTATACTGGTAGGAACCTCCTGGTTACACCAGCCCACAGGGGATTATTGTGTCCGTCCGTCGTGCATCCAAAAATGGGAGGGGTGGGGCTGGGTGGGGAGGGGCTGGGTGGGGAGGGGCTAGGTGGGGAGGGAGGGGCTGGGTGGGGGGGTGGGAGGGGTGGGGCTGGGTGGGGAGGGGCTGGTCACCCCGTGGTGCCCTTATAAAACGCAACGTTTCACCTACTCACGCCGGCTCGTGCCCGCCCTCACAGTCGGGCATATTTGCGGAATACACCACGTGGTGCCGCCGTTGACCCTGGCCATTGACCGAGCAACCCAACGTTCCTACCAGCTCCCTCCGCAGGAATGTGTTAGTACAGGGTGTTTCAAACCGATGGACCCGATTTGAAATCGCTATATCTCTGCAACCACGAACCACCCATGAATGAAACTTTTACCACTTGAAAGGGCGGGCCACAGAGTTTCAAATGATTACCACTAGATGCCTCTCTCAGCGCACAAACAGCCCCTAGCCTCAGTCATTGGCAAGACGGTGACCCTACCGCGACACACAAGGGGCGTTTTGCGTTCTGCAGTTCAGCAAGACTGAATCCGTAATTGCAGTGCAGCGTGCGTTTCGGCATTGATCCGCCAATGTCAAAGAGCATTCTTCGTTGGTACCGACAATTTGAGGAAGCGGGCTGTTTATGTAAGGGGAAGAGCACAGGGTGACCACGCACCTCAAGAGGAAAACGTGAGAAGAGAGGCGTTTGGGACGAATTCAACTATCGTCTCGATGTTGTCCCGTACAGCAGGTGGAGGGCACGTAGAGCATTTATTAAATGGTTAGTAAAACTTGGCAACTCATTAGAGCGTTTGTAACTTGTTTTGTATAGTTGTAACATGTTGCCATCGTGAAATATACTGCTTTGAAATTGGGTCCATCTTTTTTAAACACCCTGTACTACAATACTGTGTAACTGGTACACTCAGCCATCACGCACAGAGTAGCTGCTGCTCCACATGTAACTCGCAGATTGTGTGTGACACTAGCCATCCTGCGACACGTACGGCTCACACACACACACACAGATGTGTAACGCACACTCAGGGATTATACAATAATAACACGAGGCCGAACCTATTAATGCCATGCTACTTTAAACGACAGTTAAAATTCAGTATGATACAAAACACGTGGCGCCACCGTTAAAAAAAAAACACACTTGGGATTTTTAATGATGAATGCAATCAAGTTGCCTATACTCTTTGGTTCTATTGGGTAAAGTCACGTAGGTAAAAAATAAAATAACAAAAATCACGACGTTTCGGCCACAACACAAGCGGCCTTCATCAGGTGAAGGGATCAGGCTGTCTCGAGGACAGCGCTGGAGTGAAACACAGCCACGCTCAGATCCGCGGACCTTTAAGCTGTGGCTGTGTTTCACTCCAGCGCTGTCCTCCAGACAGTCTCGTCCCTTCACCTGATGAAGGCCGCTTGTGTTGTGGCCGAAACGTCGTGATTTTTGTTATTGTATTTTTTACCTACGTGACTTTACCCAATAGAACCAAAGAGTATGGATCCTTGCAGTCACGAAAGCTTCAAATCTAGAATTCAAGTTGCCTATGTTGAATCCTTGCCAAGGGTTGGCCCCGCAATATTTCAACAACGCATTCCTTTAATTGTAAAGAAAAAAAAAGAAAAATTACCCATTGCAGTTTGGCTAAACGGCACATCAACGAACCGAACGCCCCCTAGTGGGGCCCGAGGATCACGTGATCGCAGCTGCGATGAAGAGCTTCACAGCTCATCGGATTTCTCCAGGTATAAATACAGGTTCTGATTACGGTCGTGACCGCTCGTGTGTCGAGCACTCGAGTTTTGCAGAAGAAGAAGAAGAGAACAAAACTGCCCCGTAATTATCATTGACAGAAAATGAGAGGTTACCCGCTAATTACTCGGTTTGGATTTACACTAAAAGCGAGCATCATTTTTTTGTGTGTTTTAGTTCGTTCACCCTTCCCCCTCACCTCCGATTGACACGGTTGGATACGTACGGTGCGAAAGAAGTTCAGCGTATGAAACAAAAACAGGTTTTACCCTTTCTGGCAATACAACAAGAGGTGTCAAGATGTTCAAACACAAAACAGAAACATTTTGAAAGGCACCAAGTACTGTACTGCATTAACCACGCACGGCACTTGTGAACATGCAAACAAAACGCGCTCTGATAATTATCATGTTTGATGCATTGTCTTTGAAACGGATTGGTCTACAACAGAGACAGCCTTGAACGCACACACAATCATCGACCGGCCCCCTACTACTGGCAAACCAATGCCCAACTTGCAGGACCGTGGCTGCCCTGATGGGTCGCCACGTGCACGCACGGGGACAGCTGCCACTGGGGGTGCCCCCGTTGAATGTTAAGAGACGAGATGCGCCTTTAAAAAGGCTCTTTTTGAGTTGCCGAGGTATTTAATGAACTCCGTTTATGTCTAGAATAAAAGATAAAATGCGCGTGAAAATATATAAAGTTTGGGTTTAACGCCCTGCCAGGTTGCGATACTGCTTGCTTGGCCAGACCTATCTGATACCCACACGGTGGCTAGATGTTTACTACCTCGCCAGGTATACAAGACATCGTAGGTTCGATCCCGACCCCTGATGCCTGCTGTAAGTTCCGTGCGTAATTCATCGTTGAATGAGTTAAACGGCCGCTGCTTGTACTCCAGTACATGATTCACGTCGACCCTATTATATTTGAGAATACACCTCAATTGTACGTAGTTTGCTGTTGCATGTGTGCATTATCATACGTTGCGTATTAGGAATTACTTGCCATTATTTGGACTGCTTGTGTATAGCTATTGACATCGCCCATGTTATATTTTTCTTATGTATTGCACGTTTTGTAATTTGCATTGCATGTGTACATAATACCATGATGCATTGCACGTTTTATTTTGCTGTGTATTGTATGTTGTTATTCATTGCATGTTTATGTAGTTGTTTTGAAATGTTCTTGTGCAGTTATAGTATGTTATGCATTGTGCTCGCCTATTGTGTTGCACGTTATGCATTATGTTACGTAATGTAGTGTTATTATGTATGCAAGAACGTCGAGCAATACTATAATCGCATCCCTGTATTGCAGAGAATTCTCCCGCTTGGCAGTAGACATAAAATTTAATTCCCCAACCGCGACGTATAACCCAAAATAATGGCATGTGTTGATATCTGTTACATTATCACGCGTAAAAAAGTGGCAAATAAATCGTTCAGTCGATTTATTCACACCTCCCAAAAAATGCAGCACTCTCACAACAATGCTTTTCGACACAGAGATGAGAAATGTAGCAGCGTCAAACCGCGTATAGCCGAAACATCCCCCGTTCCGAAAAAAAGACATTAGGTAAACCGTGTACAGCAAGTCCTCGCTTAACGAGTGTTCACACAACGCGTTTTCGCTTTAACGCGTTACTTTTCGCACGTGGAACTCGCCCGTTATGACGCAGTTTGAGCGGTCGATGACGGAACTACTTTCTTGCGCTGCGCAGCCGAGCAGTATGGTAGTTGTTTGTGGAATGAAACAGAACGCAGCGTACCTTCATCTCAAGTCTTTGTCCCACCGTGGGATGACTGTAGGATGATTTTATAATGCACGTTATCCGTACAGTGTACAGCCAAAACACACGTTGGGCAAGGTTTTCCTGTAAACGCAATGCGGGTCACATGGCATGTACACGAGTCATGATTGGAGTCGTGCCTTCCTGCTGTTTGGGAGCAGCATGCCGTTTGCGTGTTATTTCTATGTGCAATAATACTTTCACAAGTTGCTTCGCTTGGCTTTAAAGTAAATGTATTTATTCAACAACGTAGAAAAGACGGATAATTTTTTTTCTCTCGATTGTTTGCGAGTAGGACAAGTTTTTTTTGTAAGGACACATTTGCAGGGGGTCTAATGTTCAATGAAATATTAGAACGAGGAAATGCAATTCATCGAGCAGACTTTCACGCAAATTAAGGATTTAGTGGTGAGGTTTCCACATTGCATGCTATATCATTTCAGCTAATTATATGGTTGACTAAAATCCTCTAGCAATCCTTGGCTTGAGATGCAATCACGTTTAGGATGCTACATACATCAAAATTGTTAAGTATTTGTAATAAACAAATGTATCTGGATTTAAACAAACACATTGTTTAGTCATTAAATAAGTACATTTAAGATTGCATGTTATTCTGATTGAATGGAACAATTTTCAAGAGTTGGGATGATTGCACACTTTATTAAACGTTAAGACACCATATTAAGATTTTAATTGCATTACTGGTGTAGGTAATCAATGCAACCAAATGTTTAAGATCACAGATTAAAACAGTGAAGTGTTGTTAAATTGGTACTGGTCAATGAATTCGGGCACACACGAGGAATAACACTAGACAGAAAATTATTTAGCAAACTAAGTGCAATAGCAATACAACTACTGTCCCATACAGCTGTGCCTCACACTGACAAACCTTCAAACAAAGTTCAAAACATCACCCAACAAAAAATGGCATCAAATAGAAAAACATATATATATAACACACATCGCAACCTCAATGTGATCAGAGTTCCATGTCTTCTTCTGTCAAGAGAGTTCTGGGTCTGGCGGCCGCATTCAAAGCAGTCTCAACGAGCACATTCTCGCAAGAGGGCTCCACTTCTCCCTCGTCCACACTGGGAAGAAGCTTGGCGGAGGAGGTGGTGGCACGGGAGGACGGTGTCGCTGGCCCAGGGACTGGAGTCGGGGACCGGGAGTCGGACTCGATGGCACGCAGCGTCTCGCGAAGCATCGTGTCCGGCGGGTGCCAGACGACCAGCTCCATGCACGGCCGCCTGCTGGTCAAAGATCGCCATGCAAGCAAGCAAACTATTAAACTTTCATTGAAGGGTCCACCCTAACCGTAACAATGCTCTGTTTAATTCTCAGGCATTATCAGCACCGCCGAAGTATCAGGGGTAACTTTAGGAGATTGAGCATCCACCCCTCCCTGCGGCTCAAGGTTTAGTGTCCCTTCTATATTATAGTCAAGTCAATGTTGGTTCTATATTCACCACCAGTGGCGGGGGTTTGTTAAGTTCTAAAAATGTGTAATAGACATATCCTTACTCATTCTTCGTTTGTTTACCTTATCGTTCCCCCGCTATGGGGATTGGTTATCAGATACCCTGTACTGTGAGTGGTGGTTTTTCACAGGTGGTCCCTCACATGGAATCAATGGTGAGCTGAGTGATGGCATCGGTCATGGTGTTCCGTAGCTGCTCCTTGAGCGTGCAGGACAGGGTGATGATGGGGTTGTCCGACATGTCGTACACGCCTTCCTCAAACACCCCGGTCTTCTCTCCGTCTTCCTCCTCCTCCTCCAGCCTGAGGACACAATGCCAAGGGTGAAGCCAACCGCAAACCCTCGCTACAGCAAAATTCCTGCCCCGTTATTTAAAATAATAATTTGCAATAAATGTGTTACAGTGAATAACATCAACATTGACTTCATTTCGGTATTGAAATGAAGACACTTGTGCAAGTCAGTTAAACCATTGTAATTACTATATGGGGAATATTTGCATACTGCCAAGTTTACCTTATACACAGACAACATGGGAGCGCGGTAGCGTAGTGGTTACCGTACAGAGCTACGAACACGGCGACCCGAGTTCAATTCCCGCTCACGGCCAACACCAGTGACAATTATCTGAACAGGTCATGGGCCTCTCCTAGGTCGACTCGGCCTCATACGAGTACCTGGTGCAGTGTGTATCAACATCGTCACTAGGGAGACAAAGGCGGTGCTGGCCACCCACTCCCTCTGGTGCCGTGCCAGCCTTCATAGGTGCCTGCTAACAGCACTTGCCCCAACTGTCTGTTAAGGCTATCTGGGGGATATTTGTCTTTGTATACTCAAAAGTTTGCCAATTGTAGTCAGTCTTAAAAGGGATTTACCACATCCAACTCAACAATTTACTTTTCAAGGCCATACCAGAACGTGGTCACGAAGGAATAGTAATCAAGAGCAGTTGTGTGGAAAAGGAGTCATTAAACGTTGGTATACTGTTGGCAAAAATCGATCCATTCGCATATTACCACCTCTAATGACTTCCCCCTGTGAATACTTTCCGCAAGACAGCTAGGAGCTGATGGTGGGGCACTAATGAACAGATGTTTGAAGGACAACCAATGCGGCACAAACCTACACTTTATGTGCCATGTTTTTCAGTCTGCAAATCTACAATGATGACCCACAATGTTAATTTTAAAGCACAATAACCAACTTTTATCGGTCCCTTTCCATGTTTTTTTTTTCTTTATTCGTGCTGCGGCATGCAGGTGGCACGTGCCATACATAAAGCGGACCCTTGCATTAACTCTCAACGATGTAAAGCATGTGCGCTCGCAACATGCAATGAGAGCACAGTGGTGCGTGGTGCTAAGCAAACTATGGCGACCGGCGAATCGCGTGCGCAGACTTCTCAAAGAAACCGCTCCAGATAATTGGATGCACACTGAACCCGGTGCTTGTATCAGTTCAAATTCTTGCCACTGGCAGCTGGTCTTGTACTGCGGCTTGATGAGAGGCTATATGGCATGTTGTGGGATATATTAATAGTGACAAGCATCGGCCTCCAAGCAGGTGCAATGACGCACGCCGTGGATGAAATTACAGTCGGCTAGGAGACCGGTTATGTCTGGTCATGGCTCACTGCCAACAGACAAGGATGGCGAAGGACTACCTGCAAGACATCTGCCATGAAATTGACATGCTTGACACAGCATAATATTAAATATGAATCTTATATGTATTAAACATTTGATTAGTATTTGATTAGCATAAATACAATAATGCATATTCTGTCTGAACTGGTTGCTGTACGAGTTAAACAGAATTTGAAAGTGATGAAAAACAGTACATGTACGAATACACCTATTCAAGATATGCCCATTGCTTTAATTGCGCAAACAACCCATGTAAACAGTGGAATATTAATCAGGAAATACAGCAAATCCAACATTGACCATTAAGTGATTTATTAACGTGTCTTTTGCTTAAAATGAGTGATACCTTGAAATAAAAAAAGTGGCTGTATCTTCAGGTTATACCCAGGATAACATTCTTTTTTTTTATTACACCTGTGAAGATATTTTTTAAAATGTAATTAAATAGCCCTTTATTAGTCTACCAGTTGTAAAAAAAAAAAATGCACGAATACTAAATGTGAAAACAAAGCCACATTTGAATACACCTGTTGTTCTTGCACAAGGACAAATGCCCAATTACATTCCCATCACACTTGTGCAAAGGTGGTGGCAGTATTGCCATGGTGATGGAGAAAAGGTTGATCCGTTGATAAACGGTGCCGCCCACCTGCCCTCGAGCTCGCAGAAGCGGCGGTACGCCTCCTCCCACTGGCGGTACTTGCTGTCGCGTTCCTGCGTGTCGCGCCGCGCTGGAAACCCATTCGAGCCGTACACGTGGTCATTGTTGAGGCTCAGGCTGCTCAGCTTGGCTGCCATCATTTCTTCCGTGAGCGCTTGCTTGCATCGAGTCGCCCTGCAGTGGCACAGACAAACCAACGTCTTTAGTTTTTGCAAGGCCAACGAGGAGCCCCTAAAAATTATTAACTTACAATCACACCAGTTTATCGGCAAGGGCAGAGCCGTGTTACCAGCATGGGCGCCATTTGCGAGGGTTTAATGTGAACCAAACTATAAAACGAAAATATTTTTGTTTTACCGGGTAAAAACCCACTGGGCTGTGTAGCTCTTTTTCAGAAGTGACCTGGGCACAAATGATAGCTCAACGAAATGGCTCATCACGTGGCAATTTATCGCAGCCAAATACTCTAAATTAATGTTTTTTTTAATGTGGAGGGAAAAAAACAGAGAAAAATCCATGCAACCACGGGCAGAACATGCAAACTCCAAATATGCAGGCGTCAGGATCAAGATCGAACTCACAACCTCCTGCCTACCAGGCAAGGGAGTTGACATTTTGCCACCGCGATGCTCCGTTTGAAATATATTCTTACTACATAGCATAAACTCCCAAAAAGTTCAATAAATCTAGACAACCTCCTGACATAACCCAAGTGAAACAAAGATATGTCTAAAGAGTCAGAAAAATCCAGTGGCAGATCAAAGGGTAGGGCTGAAACAAAGGGAGTGATCACCCACCCTTGTCACCCCAAAAAATCGATTTGATTGATATATTGTTTTTAATGAATGTAGGGTCCAGCTGGAATTCGACGAATGCACCCCCCAACCTTGCCCCACCCCAGTAAATTTCTACATCCAGCTCTGGATAAATGCTAGGCATGTTTTGTTTAATTGCAGGGTATATCTATACGCACTCTTCTTCCACAGCCTTCCTCCTCTTGAGCCGTATAACTCCACCACTCTTGAGCCCCGACCTAGTCACCACGTACAGTGTACATGCAGCAAACACACAGATGCAAACCATTCTCTTAGATCACAACGTTATGTGGTTACTTGGTGTAAAAATAACTTATTTAATGCTATATATAACGACGTACAATGAAATTAATGTTTAACCAAGGAGCAATGATCCCTACACACCGCCAATTCAGTTTTTAAGATTCAGGAAAGGCTTGCACATGCAAAGATCCACTGTCATGTAAAATCCATTACAGATTTATCAAACTGTTCAGTGACATGACAAAATATTTGTTAAAAACAAACAGCAATAAACGACTGCTTATCCACAACCTAGCAGGTCTAATGCCAATTCTCGTTTTGGGACTCATGGATGGGAAGACAGCTGTTCAAGCAAACAATCTCACCTGACAACAACACAAGCCCCGAATAATATTCCATGGGCAAATACAAGCAGAAAAACAAGTACAAAAAATTAAGTATTTGCATGAATTAGGTAATACTCTCCAATTTTTGTTTCCTTGGCAGCATGTTAGCTGTATGGAAACCGAAAGGGAGCCACCTGGGGAAAGGGCATTTGCATTTTCTTTTGTTGGGCAACCCAAAGGTCAATTAGGCCAGTTTTTGCCAGGCAATTCTTTAATAGCAACAACTTAAAACTGAATCTTCTTCATTTTGGATTATCACAATTAAATTATCGTGACCCATTATTACAGATGGGTGGAGCCCATTCATTTATACTTTCACCCTTAGTTGGGGAATGCATTTTAATTCCTTACTGGCTTTCCCCACACGGTGTACTTACAACCCGTTCCCCCCTTTTCTCTCTCTCGTCTTTCTTCCCAGCCTTCATTTTCTCTTCCTTTCTTGCCTCTTGCTTTTCTAATTTCCTTTTTTTTATTTTTCAAGATGACAGCTAGGTGGGGTGGGGCACTTATGATTTAACATTTATCCCCGATGGCCTTGATATCATGTATCCTGGTTGTGTTTTTGTTGCTGCTGAAAGTACAAACACAATTAAACATCAACCCTCACTGGCAGTGTGTCTCTCGCGGATGGCTTGCGGTGAAGGAGACGGGTGCAGCAGTCTGGGTGACCCAGGGCATGGCATCAGGAATGGGCCACTGCCACTGTAGGGAGACGTGCTCAGCTGACCCTTCCCAGCCGGCGGGGAGGCTAGCCTGCGGCTCTGCACACATTGACCCACAGGGTTGAAGTTAATGGAAATCAATAGGACGATAAGCTTCAATACATTGTAGGTATGTAACATACTACAGCACCCCACCAACCCCCCCCCGCCCGCCCCCTTAAAATGTGCGCTCTACTTACTGCTCCGTAGGTAGAGTGGAACATTGAGACAGCATGCCAAACAATACGTGGTACAACACGAAAAACACATCAGAGAGCTCCAGTTTAACACGTAGGCTTTCACGGGTTTACTCTCCAACACACCGGTGTGCTGAACTAGTCACGAATTGGCATGTTTTGTACATGACAAACCTTACTAATTGGCTGTGTCGGTCGAGTGGTGGCAGGTTTAATGACATTCATATTTACGCGATGTAACCCAAAAACCTTTATTATGGAGAGCACCACTCAACTACCTGTTCACGGTATTTGCATTTAAAAAAATGCTACACGAGGGTAATTGTATCAGGATATTTAATTAACTTGCACGATAAGCAAATTACTAAATTTACAATAGGCGCTATACACATATATATTACAACCATGCCCAATGTGTGGCGATTGTAGAGGCTGACAACAAGTAACGACGAGCATGTTACAACCAACAACCCGCAACCTCGTACTGACCGGGTCCATCAGAACTCTGGGCTTGCTGGGGTTGGATATGTTCCGGGACGCCGAATGCACTGCGACGCGTCTTTGTTGGAGACTGGGTGCTCGGTAAGAACTGTGTTGGGAGAAACTCCATGGTGGATGTTGGGGCAAGAAGAGGCTGTCGTGGCATCACGAGCAGCCCGTCTGTGGGAGGCTCCGCGAGGGCTCTTGATGATACCTGCCAGCAGAGGGACACAGAGGCACGCACGCACGCACGTCGCACACGGAACGCCACCACAATGTGGCACGCACGGGGAAAATGTCATCGCGGAGTGGCCATTCCGCGGCGCTTCACAACTGTTCCTGCGACGCAGCAACTGTCGTTAAATGATGTACTGTGCGCGTCGGCAATAACACTCTTCGTGAAAACCTGTTTATAGGGTTTGATAATACTTTAAACTTAAAAAGCGTCCTTAAACAATAACTCTCGAGGTGCTGACAAACTTTCTCAGGTCTGTGATTTAACTGGGTTCTCAGTTATAGTTAGTTGATGGTCTCAGGCCGGTCGCCGATAACTGGGCACGTGCACGCACGCATGAATGTAAGAAGGTTTTCAAGTGCTGCGAGAGACAGCGCTCACAGCCCACTTAAGCAGCTGGACTTGGCATCACACGCCTGCGATCCGGTGCTTTGGAAGCAAGGATTGGTGGTTCGCAGGGTGAATTATGTATCTCCCAAACCTGCTGGGTTGTGAAGAGGTGACCAGGAGCTAGCGGTACAGTAAATCGAGTAAATTCAAGATCCTATGTCTCGCGGCGTTTGTATTCTGTCGTAAAACAGGTGGGGTTTTTTTTCCAGATACTTAAAAGCTACCTCCCACAAAGAAAATATAATTTTTAGAGAAGAATACAAAAACATTAAGCAAAACACTTTTCAAAAGGAGTCTTCAGACTGTGATACTTTCCTGGATAAAAGGCATTTTTTTGATTTATTATAAAATTATTTTCTGTGCAGTTATTGGCGATAGGACCGTGACCATCAACTTGCTACAATCGGGAACCCTGATTTACTGAGTCAGCTGCCTGGATTCTTGGAAGCCTTCTCAGATGACCCCCCTCTTAAGTAATTTGACCAAGACAACTTGTGTTATTTGAACATGTTATTGATTTAAAATTAACCTGCATTTCTTATTTGTTATTAAATGTTTTTTTTTTATCCGATTTATTTTCGTTGGCTGCTTTTGCCATTTTTGTTAAAAGAGGCCACCCTTGCAAATGAGAGTATCCTGATCTCTGGAGTTCTCACCTGGCTAAACGAAATGACATACGCCTGTTGGGTGAAGTGTTGTTATTAAGGTCGCCACCAAGCTCAGACACCTTTAATAATAACATTTATATGGTGCTTTTCCTCAAGGATCTCAAAGCGCTGTACAGGACACAGCAGCAGACACTCAGCATAAAACGTCATTATAAATACACTTAAAGAACCCATTTACTAAATTAACTAAAAGTTTGATCAGCCGAAGCATATAAATAGGCTTTAAGACATTTTCAAAGGGTCTAGACTCAAGAGGATCCCTGGTATCTCGTGGAAGAGCGTTCCATAACCTGGGGGCTACACAGGTTACAGCTCAGTCACCAATAGATCGAAGCCCCGACCTGTGGGAATGCAGAGAAGATCTCCTTTCCCCGTGCTTATGTTTTACATACCACAACAGTAACTCATTTTGGCATGGAGTCAAGTCGGATTCATGGCGCAGTTTCCAGAAGCACCGCTCCAGCCACCAGTGATCAAATGTGGCCTTCATGAACGGCAAATGCATGTATTTGCAAACAGTAGCGGATATCGTGAAGCCGTTTGGGAGAAAGATTAAACTGCAACTCGGAATAACGAAATATTGTCGAGGCCAACAGCACGTGACATTCATTCGATTTTGCGAAGATTAATGACTTTCAACTATGCGGCTGGCCTTTGTAGACTATTAAAAAGTATGTCTCGGTAAAAGTTTATTCAGTCATCGAAGCTCACAAACCAATGCCGAAATATAAAAAAGTAAGTTATTTGAAAGAAAACCATTTGCAAAAATGGAACAGTTACAACCGAGATTACATGGCAAAGGTAAGAAGATACATGGTTAGTGAAACAAGGTAAGAAGATATTCTTGGTTCTTTCGGTAAAGTCACCACGTAGAAGGGAAACAATAAAATAATAAAAATATATAAAACAATAAAATCCTCACGACGTTTCGACTGCAACACAAGCAATCATCATCAGGTGATTGCTTGTGTTGCAGTCGTGTGTGTGTGTTCTCCAGGGCACGCGTTTGATGATATTTTTGTTATTTTATTGTTTCCCTTCTACGTGATTTTACCGAAAGAACCAAGAATATATTCTTACCTCGTTTCACTAACCATGTATCTTCTTGCCTTTGACATGTAATCTCTGTGGGTTTTCACACCTGATGATGATTGCTTGTGTTGCAGCCGAAACGTCGTGAGAATTTTATTGTTTTATATTTTTTTTATTATTTTATTGTTTCCCTTCTACGTGGTGACTTTACCGAAAGAAACCAAGAATATGAATCCCTGCAGTCACGAAAGCTTTAAATCAAACGAGGTAAGAAGAAGAAGAAGACTTCGCCAAAGTTAGAAACGGCGTCATTAAACATTTTCCTAAAAGGTAGACTTAAGAAACAAAGGCAAGAAGATGAGTGAAGAAAACCGTGATTTAAATGCAGAAATTGTATTTTCTTAAAAAAAAACCCGTGATTAAGTACGGTACACGTACGTACTTGTACAACTTGTCTCAACAACGGCGGATCAATATTCGGGCTACGGAAGGTTTGGAGTGCCTTTGTATAAACTGAACCTGCTAAATGACAAGTAAACCTAACAATGCGTCTAAAATCAAACGGCGTGTTCGGTCAATGACTGCTGCCCAAGAGGCATGCGGACGCTCAGGAAAACGTGCGAGTCAAAGGTCACACACCGACTGGAGAAGCTTGCAGATAAACAACACCACACACACACACGCACGCGTGAGTTAATTACAGGATCTTTACTCCGGGGAATAGTGGCGATTGGGGGTTGGCCAAGTGGCTGGAAAAGGACGATTGCCCCGTGGTCGAGACTACTAACAACGCGAGGAGCAGCCAAAGGAGAACGGGGAGATAAGGCACGTCCGAGATTAGCGGTCCATCGCCAAAGACGGAGCGATGGAATGGGCTTCCATGTGCAGGTGCTGGGTTGGATCGAGGGAGGTCCTCGTCCAGCAGTGGATTGATCACGGCTGACGACAGTGAGTATAAAACCATTAAGGTGCCGTTTTTGCTGTTTACAGAATTTTTTTTTTTTTTTAAAACCCCACCAACACACTTCACAATGCGTAAACCTCACGTCTACGTCGCAGTATTTATAACAGATTTTTTTTGTAAAAAAAAAACAACTCTACCACAACCGACGGCCGTAGCGATCAGTGCACGCTGCCCTAGGGGCCACAACAACGCGCAGCGGCCGCGCTGCTGCTGCCAAGGGCCTCTGCCGCCGCTTGGGCAAGCCACGCGCGCACCTCGGTCTCCATCACGGTCCCCAGGCCCGACGCGCCGCAACAAATCGAGCCGCCACTACGCGGCGGCGGCGGCGGCGCCTGCGGTGGCGGTGGCGGTGGCGGCGGCAGGACGGGCGGGCGGACGGGCATCCGGAGTCAATCGGCGAGGCGCGACGGCTCCGTACGCGCCTGTCCCCGTGCGGGCCAAGAGGGAGCGGGGAGGCGAGCGGAGGCCACCCCGCAGGCCATTCACTGCCGCCGAACAATAAAACGGCCTCGCGTCGTCGCTCTGACGTCACCGCGCCGGGGCCGCGTGTTTGTTTTACGTCACCGCGCCGGGGCCGCGTTTTTTTACGTCACCGCGCCGGGCCGCGTGTTTACGTCACCCTCCTCCCCCGAAACCCCCCCCCGCCGCCCTCCAGAACCCTCCCCGCCCTCCCAAACCCCTCCCCCCCTCCCCCTCCCACCCCCTCCCCGCCCTCCCACCCCCTCCCCGCCCTCCAAAACCCCTCCCCGCCCTCCAAAACCCCTCCCCGCCCTCCCTCCCATTCCCCCTCCCCGCCCTCCCGAACCCCTCCCCCTACCCGCCCTCCCTCCCCCTCCCCGCCCTCCAGAACCCTCCCCGCCCTCCCTAACCCCTCCCCGCCCTCCCAAACCCCTCCCCCTCCCCGCCCTCCCAAACCCCTCCCCGCCCTCCCAAACCCCTCCCCGCCCTCCCTAACCCCTCCCCGCCCTCCCAAACCCCTCCTCCTCCCCGCCCTCCCAAACCCCTCCCCGCCCTCCCAAACCCCTCCCCGCCCTCCCTAACCCCTCCCCGCCCTCCCTAACCCCTCCCCGCCCTCCCAAACCCCTCCCCGCCCTCCCAAACCCCTCCTCCTCCCCGCCCTCCCTAACCCCTCCCCGCCCTCCCTAACCCCTCCCCGCCCTCCCAAACCCCTCCTCCTCCCCGCCCTCCCTAACCCCTCCCCGCCCTCCCAAACCCCTCCTCCTCCCCGCCCTCCCAAACCCCTCCCCGCCCTCCCTAACCCCTCCCCGCCCTTCCAAACCCCACCCCCTCCCCGCCCTCCCAAACCCCCTCCCCGCCCTCCCTAACCCCCGCCCTCCCAGAAATTTCCCGCCCCGTAGTTCGGGGGTGACGTCATCACGCCGCGGTCAGTGGCGCGCGCGCTTTTGGGCGTTGACGTCGTCGCGTCGAGCGCGTTGCGTCGTGACGTCATCGCGCTACTGAACAATTTCGTTAATAGCTAAACGTCGTGAGAATTTTATTGTTTTATATTTGTATTATTTTATTGTTTCCCTTCTACGTGACTTTACCGAAAGAACCAAGAATATAATGGGGTTTTACAGGGTAAAAGCCCACTATTAACGACACGGAGACACACAACATAGACACAGTACATTATATTCTTGGTTCTTTCGGTAAAGTCACGTATAAGGGAAACAATAAAATAATAAAAATATTAAACAATAAAATTCTCACGACGTTTCGACTGCAACACAAGCAATCATCATCAGGTGTGAAAACCACAGCATGAAAATTTGAAAAAAGTGGCGTTTTTTTAACGTTAGCACCACTTTTCAAAATTTCTTGCTGTGGTTTTCACACCTGATGATGATTGCTTGTGTTCCAGCCGAAACGTCGTGAGAATTTTATTGTTTTATATTTTTATTATTTTATTGTTTCCTTTCTACGTGACTTTACCGAAAGAACCAAGAATATGAATCCCCGTAGTCACGAAAGCTTTAAATCAAAACACAGTACATTGTTTAGTTTCACTTGTTTATATTTTTTTGAGTGATTTGCTTACATTTCCTATACTTTGCACTCTTACGGTGTTTTTCTCTCGTTTGTTCTTGCAACTTTCTGACCCGCCCCGACTGTACATCTGGGAATTAATGGCTCATCGGATTCCTCCAGTATAAATAAAGATTCTGATTCTGAACGACAGACAACGCGGCAAATCATCCCCCTCCCAAGCTCTGCGGTCCTCTATATATGAAGATGTTAGCAGTCAATTAATGAGTGTTTACATGTGGGAGGAAACCGGGGCGCCTGGAGAAAACCCACCCGTGCGAGGGGGAAACACTCTATCCCATACAGGTGGAACAGGTGGGGTCCACATTTGCTGTACCGGCACCTCCCTCAACCCCTACGAGAAGTGAGTTACACGACATCTCTATGTGAACCACCAACCCTCGCTGCCTTCCGCAGTGCAGAATTACAGGCGTGCGCTGCAACAGGATTATAAAAAAATAATCCGCGACAAAATTAAGGATAAATTATGTTCATACAGAAGGAAACCAATCGGCGTCAAGGGGCAGCCGATTATGGGCTTTTTCGATCCACAGATCGTCTCTTTAGATCCAGAAATCATTGCAAATTTTGTATTAAAAATATCACATCTTGATCCACGCTCCAACGATTCCCGTTTCATCGAGTATTGATTTGGTCGTTAAAAATACGTCGATTCCCGTCTCAGTATTCTTCATGTGGTCAAAACGCACGCCCAATTTACTCCCAATGTGTGGGCCCAAAACGTTAACATAATTTATCATTCAATCTGTCGCGGATTCATGGTTATCTTGTTACAGCGCCACCCACCGTCCCGGCATGATGCAAGGCTCAATCATTCCAGAACCATGGAGGTCAATTCACTCGAGATGGGATCACAATTTTCAGGTTCATCCGAAAAATCGTACAATTCGTAGATTTCGGACGATCTAAAATAATATTACTTTATTTTAAGAGTAATTCTAAAAAAAGTCCCACGTATTTCTTCCTCCCAAAATGGTCTCAAGTGGCGAGTCGAATGGCGTCACTTTTGTGAGCTTTAATACATGAACTTATAACGGCGTAAGTAAACCGAACAGTTCCAAAAGTTTGATTGAAACTTTAAAAATATGAAATACGAAAATGTTTCATCTGAAATCATATACCGTTTCGTCTGAGCCATTGAGCCGAGCCAGCATGGGGTTGTCGCGGTTTGGGTGGTTCTCACTGACTATTTTCCAAGTCAAGCCAGATCCAAATCGTGCTATCCTGGTCTCTCAAGACACCGGGCTCAGTACGGCTCTGGTACATACAATGTTCCGTGACATAAGTAGCAAAATGCATTATAAACTGCCACCATTCCCTCTTTCATAAATAAAATACATTTTCGCTAAAGTCCCAATTTCCTCCCTGCACGTCAAATCATACGCGCACAAGGGATGCACATGCGAGAGGATGTTTTATTTGTGCTGTGCTAGTGACGAACATACCTTCCTTTTAATGCATGCGACAAACATGATACAAGTCATTAAAAAACACGTGAACGATATGACTAAGTAATGCACAATAATATGCATGACTTACATTTTCGAGTACATTAACTGTGCAGTAAATATAATAATTGAGTATTTTCACTAACTTAAAAAAAACTACTGGACAGTTTGGCATCATCTGGTCGAGCACCAATTGGGTCGAGGCTCAAAAGAAAGCCGTCCCTTGGTGTGAACCAATCAGTTTCAAGGACAATGCATATATTATCATAGTATGTGTTTTGTTTGCATTTTGAATGCCGGTATTGTGGTTAATGCAGACATGAATCCTTGTAAAAAAAGGGTTCAGTTTTGTTGCCAGAAAAAAGGGGAAAAACCCTATTATAAACTGGACAGTTTTTTTATATTAATGTTTTTCTAATTTGAGGGTATACGCTTAAATAATATGAAAGCACTACTATATGTTAAAGAGATTATTATTTTACCAAGATGTGAAATAAAAATTACAAGTTAACAGAGGATGATAATGAAATTACAAAAACATGCATTACTATGCAATGCTTCACAGAATACTACACATGTTGAAAACTTTCAATGAAAGTAGGTAAAGTTTGTGTTTTTAAAACATCAAGTTGTATAAAATGTGTACGAAGCATGTAAATATATCGTTGTATAAATAATGCAAAATGCGCTAATATTGTAGATTCTAACTCCGTGCACGCTGAGTGTAATCGCTGCTCGGATAACTTAATTTTCATAAAAGCCGTGTTAGACAATATCAGTGTTAAACTACCGCGAAACAATACCGTACAATCTACAACAATTTAAGTATTATTTAAATCCAGTTTTCATTCCCCCAAAATTAGACCCCTTAACATTGGCTGTCATACGATGGTTGTCGGGGTGTGATGAATTTACACCCAACTTCCTAAGTGCCTTTTACTCTGACCACACCGCACAGCATCGTCAATGTTCACGCCGCACAAGGATAAATGGAACATCTCTTTGGTTGCCGAAGACATTGTTAACCACTTTAAATCATATCAGTCCGTGTCAGACAGATACAATTGTGACAACCAAACATCGCAAATTACTTTTCTCCTATTGAACTTGATCAGCTGGAACCAGACGTGCGCAGGGTAACTCGTGAGTCAACGCCACCAGCTTCCTGAAAACGGCGCGAGAGTTCCATTCGTCCCTACACTCCGTTGCCTTGTGGATTGAGAAACTGGAGACGATCCGAGCCACGGGACGCACACAGCATGAAGCTGGATCCCATGAGCAGCAGCGCCGCCGCACCAAAACCCAGGTACAGCGAGAGGCCGATCTCACGACGCATGTCCGGAGAGATCAGTGGGTTGTTGTGGTCACTGATGATGTGATGGGCCATACACGAGACGGCCACCAGCTCCAGGAGGCCCACCACAGCGAAGCAGACGGCTGCAGACGTGGCAAGGCGCGTCTTGGTGGCACTCTCGTCCAGCCAGGTGGTGCACTTGGCTCCGGCAAGCGCCACGAAGAAGGCGACCACCCCCAGCATAGTGGCGCACACGACCAGCGCCCTGGTGATTTGCATGCTGGTGCCCAGGCTCATCATGGAGCCGTGGGTCCTGCACTGCATGTCGCCGGTCCCCTGCAGCACGCAGTGCACCCACAGGCCCTCGAAGACACCCTGCGCCAGGAAGGCGCTGCTGGAGGACATTCCGGACACCTTCCACATGGGCAGCATGCAGGACACGAGCATACACAACCAGCCCAGCAGGGCCAGGGCCATAGCAAGCAGTTGCAGGCGAGTGTTCGCCATCACGTCGAAGCACGACTGGCTTATGCAATGGGACTAGATCACCACCACTCGTGTCCTCAAGAGCTGTAATCAGACAGGATGCAGCACACTGAAAAACACCGCTTATGTATCCAGGGCGTACCAACAGTACATTACAGACACCACCCTATGGAACTAGACCCCACAGTGGCTGCTCAGCATGTGTGCGACAAAGGAAAAGTCTCATGCAACAAGGGGATTATGTTGTAAAGTGTTTTTCTTAACCCTGAAACAAAACACATTCTTTATCAATATACCGCTGTGCATTCAATTGTGCAAAATCGGAAGCCGCTGCTTTCTTCTTCTGCCCTAAGTGAGAGGAAGCACATGGTGTTTATTCTCGACTCGTTTCCTGTAAATCAGGAAAGCATGCTGGGCAGCTCTGTACAGAAAGCCGTGTCCGTGGGAATATGTTTTGAATGTGGCCTTCAAAGTAAGGGTGCACAAAAGCATCATAAAGGAAAAGGGCACATTAGTCAGTGATTAATCTTGTTGTTTAAATGTCGTGTGAACCCAACAACATCTTTAAGCATTTAATTAATCCAGCACAAATGTCCCAAGCTCCTGGAGTTTAACGAGGCAAAAAGCCTCGGCGGTTAAAGTTTAGATTTTGAACATGCGTTTAAAACTATTTTTCAATTTGAGTGACAATATGCTTAACCTATCGCACAGCTACACTGGAATAATTCACAATAAACACAAGCCAATTTTCTTGTTACTGGCAATCATCCATCATTATGTAAAAAAAAATGGCACTACACTGATAAGCTATTGTTAACACGAATTTATAGTATGAAAACACATCTATCACAACAGCCAATATGGAATGTTTAGCCTTGCAGCATGCTGGCAGAAACAATAAGCCCTACAGTGTTGATCTATCTAACCCTATAAGAAAACGAAATGTAGCTAGAACACCAGAATAAACGTGTACTTATGAACGTTTGGTACAGTAGTTTGGAAAAAAATAACCCCACAAATAAGCAGTTTATTTTAAATTGTTTATTTTTCATGAATCGTCGTGCCCTAGTTTACATTTGACATGAAGTAGAGCACAACAGCCGCCAACAGCGCATGGCTGTGGGTGAGATCCATGAGCAGCCAAGGGGCCCTCTGAGCAGGACTCCTAGTCAAAGAGACCGAAACCCATGTCGTCATCTTCCTCCTCCTCTTCAGACTCCTGCTTCTTCTCCTCCTTGGCAGCGGCAGCTGGCGCAGCCGCGGCTGCCACAGGTGCGGCTGTCACGAAGGCGGATGGGTCAGCCAGGAACGCCTTAACCTGCACACAAAACACACACACACACAACACACGTGAATGTCATGCAGCTAAAGAAGGGCCCGTGCTTAATTGGCCAATCTGTTGATTAAACATGGCTTTACGCCATTTGGAAATTTAGAATATCATCCTCGGCCACGACCTATCCACTGCTAGACGAAAGCCTCCAATGCACCAACGCTATCCCCCACGGTCCTGCACATAGATGGATCTTTTCTCTCCATCTCTAAAGCGGCCATTCCCTCACTCTAGGTGTGTTCTCTTCTTTGGCTGCCTTTCCATCACTGGTCTCATCGATTGGCAATCATCCCTTCTCGCTACGGTGTTCTGCCCAAGCCCGCTCAACTGTCCTTAAGTCAGTGATGCATTTGATTTGTGTTTGTTCCCTCTTGGTGCGATTCTCAAAATGCAACTCTTGTTTCTTTGCACATTTTTTCAGCTTTTTATTCATCAGTGTCCATGCATCTGATCCATGCATGGGACGTAACTAATTGCATGTATGAAGCTCACATTTCAGGAAAGGATGCATCCAAGCTACAAACCGGGCTTGCATACCTTGTCGGCAAGTGGGAAAGAGTAGTTGGTCTCCACGGCAATGGCGAGCACACGCTTGTAGCCGTTAACGATGGAATGTGGGATTGAGGCAACGGTCGGGTAGCCAATCTGAAGGCACACGCTAGCGACGTTGCGCACACCCTGCACGCGACAGAAAAAGAACAGGTAAAATACAAAGTGGATTATAAATCACAAATACAAGGTGGATTATAAACCATGTGAACACAAAGTGGCTTTTGGCTAGCCATCGAACAAAGACGGTCACTGCATCACGTGCTTCCAGATATGCTTCTGCAGCCGTCTGGAACGCTCATCCTTCCGTTATTAGAAAACTGCTTTGAGTTTAGTTTGTCCTTCCCCCCGCACCTCCGATTAGCACAGATAAATGCGTACAGTACGAAAGAAGTTCAACATACATATTAGACCTTGGCTGGAATTTCTATTCAAAGCTGTTTCCTTGAACACATGCATTTATTGTTTATACTACTTGCAAAGCTAGAGAGATTTAATTCTTACAGTTATAGCCTTCGATTATCAATATTTATATAAATGCTTGCTGAATCGATTATCATGATACCGAAGCCATGGAATCGATAATAAAAACCAGTTAAATTTTTGCAACGTTGTCAGTACAAAAATTCTAAAATAATTCACTGCTGGAAGAAGGCCTCGCTATGCTGTTTCGGTTATGGGGTTTGTTTGACCATACTTTACCACACTGCGGGTTGGTGAAGGCTGATCACCTTTTTTGCACACAATGATCGATAATGCTATGAAACCAAGTGGTGGATATAGCACAGTTGATGGGAAGGTTGCATGTGGTGAGGTAAAGTGTGGGTACTCTCACCACAAGTCTTTCTAGAACTCCATCTAGTGGAGGCCCCTTCGCCAGCAGTGGCATGCATACGGAATTTTCAGGGTTGTGCCTTTATCTTTGATCATTCTAAACAAAACTCCAAAGAAATGTGTCGATTCCACTGTCCGAAAAGGAAAAAAACATAATGGGCAAACTTTTGGGCAATGGCCCTTCAATGGCCCTTTTTCAAAGCAGATGTATTTTTTCCCACTGAGAGAGCAGTGTTTTTAACCAACGTATCTAGTATTTTTTTAAATCTTGCTTTTGTACCACTGCTAAAGTGTAATAACAATAAAAAGTTATATTGTGCGTTTTTTAGCTGCCATCAAACTAAACTGCCTTCAATTCTCGGTCGCGTCACAAACGCGTGTGCTGTGGGCGTAGTGCACGCACCTCGAGGAAGCGCTTGCGCAGGTCATCCTCGGTGATGTCCAGCACATCGGGGCTGTAAATGCTGCCATTGTCGTACACCTGCAGGATGTGGAGCCCGAAGGTGAAGGGCGAGATGTTGAGCATGTTGAGAAGCGTCGCCTCGCTGGCCCCCACCTTGTCACCCGCCTTGATCAGCTGCACGTCGCTCTGCAGGGGACAGGAAATAAAGCAAACAATCAAACAGTGGAACGCTGAGTTCAAGGGGTTGACCAGGGGACAAGTGGAAGAATTGGGTTTTTTTTTTACGAATCAAAAACGAGAAATAAATTATAAAACTAAATCCTAAACACATCAAAACCACAACCTAATTAATAATTTACAAATCTAACACAATCATGATAGTTGAGTTCCTGATTATTTTTTTAAAGCTAAATTATGAAGTTTCACAAATCTATATCCAAAATACAATGGGGGGAGGGGGGGGGGGTCCATCGCTGCCGGCTCACCTGACAAGTACTCACTACCCTGTGAATTCTGTGGGCCAGATGGCACTTCAATCGCTACTCCTTCCTCATTCAAGGCACTACTACTCCCCTAACTGGGACCGAGCTGAGTGGAGACTTCACCGGGTTCTCAAGTGGGCACCCCCACTTGAGAACCCGGTGAAGGGCTCGACGGAAGAACCAGCGTCCGAGTACTACCCCCTCCATCCACCACTCAACTCAGCCCTGCCTCCCTACTGCCTCTTTGACTCTGCCACCATAACCGTTATATGAAAGCGGTATTTTTAACTTTTAACATGCAACATTCAATGCATTTTCCCCTTGTTAAAAGCGCAACACATTTGAACTGAATCCGTGTTCAACAAAATCTGAAAATAATACTGTATATACTTTTAAAATGTTCCGTTATGCCTTCATCTTTTGAAAAAGACTTTACCAGAATTTCAATGGTGCCTCTTGAGATCTTGGTGGTGATGCCAAGAGCCTGGAAGAAGGAGGTCTTTTCAGGACCGAGCCCGGTGTTCTGTGCCGGCACCATCACGTCGCATGGAGCCAGACCTCCGGCGCGTGCCGAGGCCGGGACCTGATGAGGAAACAAAACACAGGATCATTTACACTCCCGTACTCTCATTTTTAAGTAACGTTAGGAAGTATACAGAATTAAACGACAATTTTTAAGCAAACAAAACAAATCCATCTTAGCAATCCTACTTGTGCTAAAGGAAACTTAAATGACGGTGCAATGATATCAGACCATACAACCTCTGCAAAGGGACATTGTTTCCATATATTGCATGCTGCATATTACACAGTCCTTTGTCAATCAACTGCTGGATGCATGTTGAACTCCTTTTGTACCGTACGAAACCAACCGTGCGAATGCTGTGCGAGTCGGGGAGTTATATGAGCATACTTCACTGTGGTTTTTTTATCGTGGGATGAAGGTAGGACACTGAGGTGGGAATATAGAAAGTAGAGTACAACAGTGGAATATTGTTTGTCCCCTGATGGCCACTACGGAGGCCTGCAGTCACCTATGACAACCTGGCGCATCTTTTGGTCATCCATATAAACCCTATCCAAGTTCAACCGTTACCTAACAAAATCAGGAACATTCCAGGCTTTTCCATCATACGCATAGAATGTACACTAAACAAACTATTATTCATTTAAGTGAACTTGGACAATTTGTAAAACATTGATAACGTGAGAAGAAAAAAAAGTTTTTTACATTGAGACCTCCTTTGCCAGTAGCAAGATATAGTAATAGGTTTTTACCCTTTTTTATCTGGCACAAAAACTGACACCTTTATACAAGGGAACATGTTTGCAATAAGCACAATACAAGCAGTCTCTTTTTGTTTGCATTTTTGACTGCTTGTGTTGTGGTTATTACAAACATGATCCCTTGTATAAAGGTATCAGTTTTTGTGCCAGATAAAAAAGGGTAAAAACTATTACTAAGAAAAAAAAGGTTTCAGTTTTGTTGCCAGAAAAAAGGGGAAAAACCCTATTCTTATATTTTGGTACTGGCAAAGGTCTAATGATATTGATAACGTGCTTGACTAGACAAACGTTGTGCTTTACTGCGAGATCTTGGTTGACCAGTCAGGACCACACACCAGAAGCACAGCTAGATCACACACAAACCTTGTTGGCAAGAAGCATGTCACGGATCTCAGCCAGGTCCTCCTTGGTGAAGACAAACCCAACATTCCCGCGAATGTATGGCAACACTCTGCAAAACAAGTGACAACACAATCGTTCAATATTATAATTCTCAAAAAATGAAAGGTGGTAAGTAAAGTTCTCATGTCACTATATCATAATTTTAAAACATTATCTTGGAAGATTCATTTTTTTTTTTAATAAGAAAATGAAATTGTTAAGGTGACTGCAGTTTGATTGATGGTCAGAGCTAACATCAGTGACAAGTGATATCAGGACCAGTCTAAGCTCTCGGTTAACCGAAATTGCACTGGAGAGCATGGGTGAAGTATGGTCAAACAGCCACCATGACTGAAACGGTTTGGAAATTTTATGCAACACTGGATAGACAAAAGGACTGTCACGGTTTTACATTCGACAATAAAAAGGGCAGAAAAAAAAATACATGCTAACCTTAGCCTTAGCAAAGTGCTTCTGGTAATTCAACTTTATAAAATGTAGCCTAACTTACTCTCTGCGTGTGTACTACAATAACTGCAAACTCAAGACGCTCTACAATTTGAGAAGATGACAAACAAAATCTTCCCACCTCTCAAGTGCTGGGTTTTTCTCAAGGTGACCA